GCATTATCATTATCTTCTTTTTCCACATTCTGTATTCTTTTGTCAATGGTTTCAATATTTTTTATGACATCATAAAGAATGTCATTTACTGGTACTTTAGCATTTTTTTCCAGCTTTTTACCCTTTTTAACACTTGTTTTGTTGTCTTTTAGCATAGCTTCTGTTAGTCTTAAACTTGAGGCAGAATCTTGATTGATCTTTTCCTCTGTGCTGTCTTCTTTTTGCAGTCTTTTTTTACTGGTTAAAAGTTTTGTTTCTTTTACTTTCTTGACTTTAGATATTTCTTTTGTTTTCATTTTATCTTGAATACTTTTTTCTTGATTTATATTTGATATATATTCTATAGAGCCTAAATGTTGATTTATTATTCTGAGCTTAGTTAGCCATTCATCTGTAATATCTTCTTCTAACCATCCTAGTTTTGCAAGACAAAGGGCTTCTAAAATTTGACTATAAAACAATAAGTCATCAGATGTAATATGACCTGGATTACTTAATGCAAGGTCTTTTGCAATATACTCAATATTGCATAGGCTTTTTGTGAGTGTTGTTAGAACATGATCTAGAATTTTGCTATTAATATGTCTATGATTTCTGTCACCCAGCCCCCTGATGTAATCTATAATATCTGATTTTTGAATCTTATCTATCGATCTACTAGATCAGATTGTTTAGATAATTTATGTGCACTTATTTGTTGTAATATTATTGGTTGTTTTGTTAAATCCTAGCTAGAATAGTGATTACCAAATTGGGAACATGTTTGGTTTGTTTGTTGCTATTTGTTTATATTATATAATCACATGTTACAATCTTCTGTTTTTCTAGGCTAACGACAAATTTCCAAAATTCAGTCTGGGAATATATCAAATTTGGTCATTGACGATCTTACCTTATTTGGTAAATGATCATTAGTCGGATGATTCTAGATTTCATAGTACATGAATATGAACCAATCAAATTAATTGAAAGTTCTATATACGAACGAATAACTTATTATTAACGAAGCTATAAGCGAAGCTTCACTTTTTATTAAACATTTTAAATAATAATTTTATTCCAATTAATCATTACTGCCTTTACCAATTCTATATTACAATATTTAGTTTATATCATTAAACAATGCCATCTGTATAGACAATATTATTCAACAACACTACTTATAAATTAATTTGCAATCTAAATCTACTTTAACTGTCCTAGGTGTTCTCTTTTGTGAACTATATTGATACCTATACAATAGTTAAATTAAAATATGAAAGTTGTAGTATAAATAAGTTCTTAGATCTTCATTTAAACATAAATACAAAACTTCAAAGTGATCTTAAGTTAACTGATAACGATTCCTAAATTTCTATATGAAATAAATACCTCTTTTTAATGTTTCATTTACTTTAACCAAAAGTGTTTACCACGAGGGATTCTTTGGGATAATTGAAACTAGACATCTTGAACTACATAGTCAAAGTTTATTAGGCTCTAATAACTATCAAAAAAATTTTTTTCAAAGATGCACAATGTTTGAAGAGTAAAGGATGTAAAAGGCATGTAAGAGCCAATCAAAATCAAGATCTATTCATAGATCATTCTAGAATGTGATTTCCTAATTTGGTATATTCCCAGACTGAAATTACAAAAAAACTTGAGGGTTTTAAAATTTTGTTAAAAAAAACCAAAAAATTTTGTATTTGTTGTTCAGAAAGTTTATTTTTCTTTGTATTCTAATAAAGCAATGATGGCTTATGATACTAGGAGCTTTTCCTAATACTATAATAAGTGCTTGCTATACTACTTTCTGTTGTATTTTTAGCTTTGTACTTTTTGAGATTTTTTCCTAAATTAAGGATCAGCAGAAAGAGTTTTTGAAAAAAAAAGTAGTATTATATTATAATATAACTTAAATAGATATTTAAAAATTTATAAATAACTTCTTTTAATAGTTAGAATTAGGGTGAGTGTTAGTCTTGTTCTTCTTTTCTTGTTAGAGTTAGGACAAGTTATAGAAAAAATAGCTTGAGTTCGATAGTTAGGGTTAGGATAAACATTAGTTTTTTTTTTTTTTTGTATTAGAGTTAGAACAGATTATAGGAAAATAACTTGGGTTTGAAGTAGTTTTTTTTTTACAAACTGTATATTACTGGTTAATTATACTCACTGATTATAATTAACTATATGGTTATAATTAACCAATAGTGCAAGTTAAAATTGTTTATATTTATATATTACTAAGATCCTAGTCTTACTAATTTAAAAAATGTTACAACTAAATTATAATTATAATTTATTTTTAAATTAAGTTTTTATTTTTTATAATACCAAATCATAACTTATATTTTATTAGCTTTTTGTATATAGTTATATTATATTTGTATTATTAAATTATTTTTTTATTTTAGATATCTAACATGTAATTATATTTACATTTTTTTATATATATTTTGTAGTTATTATTATATATTACAATATTATTACTAAACTACCAATAAAGTTATAATTATTTTATTATATTCTAATTTTTTGTTACTTTTATTTTGATTGCAACCCATCTGTCTACTACTTGTAATAACTTTTTCTTCTTTTAAATTAGTTAGTTCTTATAGTTTTTTACTCCTATTATTACTAATTTAGTATATTAAATATTAAAAAATAAATAAATAAAGTTAAATATTTTTTTAATTTTTGGTAATATTACTAATTAGTTTATTAGATTCTAAATTTTATATAATACAATTTTACAGTTATATTTACAAGATTAATTATTACTAGTATTATATTTACTATTTAATTTTACTTTATAAATTTATCTAGTTACCTATATAGCATCTAAGTTTATATTTGCTACATGTCTGTATACAGTTATTTTGATAACTACTTGTAATCAGAATATACTATTAAATTACTATATAAACAAGAATATTTTTGAACTTAATACAATATACTAGTATCAAAAATACTGTCTTCTATAATGTGTTTCATTTATATGTTATATCTAATTTTGTTTTTTTTATCTTTTAATTTAACTATATTTAGTAATATCTTGTTCTTTATATTTCTTAGCTTTTTGTTATTATATTATTTTAAATTAATTTTATTTAGATATATTTAATTTTTATAATCTTTTATCTTTGGTATATCTGTTATTAATTCTCTTAAAGTGTTCTAATAATGATTCAGAATCTACAATAAACCTATATTTCAAACCAAATCCATTATTATCATTAGTCTTATGATCAATCTGTATTTTAACCAGTTCTGTTACTATTATTTTTGCAAATGTTTTAGATCTTAATATTATATAATAACTTAATATTATATTTAATCTTTAACAATGTGTTTTTTTCTATAATAGAAACTAAGATTTATTAACTTACAAATAGAACAATTTTGATTATATTTAGAAATTTTTTTAACTCTAGTAATACTATACTATCATATATTGCAAACTTTTAACTTATTCAATAATACTTAAAGAACAATTCTAGTTATATCTAAGAATTATATTAATTTTAATAATGTTATACTATCTTGTAGTTTATATCTTATATTAGTTAATTAATTTCAGTTTTATTCATTATAGATTTCTATATAAATATGACCAAAATTTAATTTGATATTTTTTTAATATAAGAAAGTTATAAACCAATCTTTAAGATTTTTTCTTTTATAATTAGATAATTCAACTATATTAAAGATGTTTCCAATTTTGATCAAATTAATTCTTTATTACAAATCATTTTTATGTTTATCACTTTTCTTATTATTTTAGTCTTGGTTATTTCTAGATTATTCTCTTAATCAAATCTTCTTCTTAGATCCTAATTAGAACTTATTTGCACAATTTATTGATTATCTTTTAAGTAAATATTTTACAAGTTAAGTGTAAAAATGTTGATGTTAACTATATTAGAAGATGTAAAAATGTTAATACTACTTTAATTTTAAGAACTTATATATATAATCTTTCTATATCCATAATCTTTTTTAATATTGTTGTTATGCATAATATTTGTACTCCATGATTAGGCCTCTTTTTGAAAATCCCTTTTATCCAAATTTGTACTTATATTTGAACTTTTCCTACGAGATTTAATATTTGATTAATAACTCTAATAAGTTACAAAAACAAAATTGCTTCCAGTCCAACTCAAACTGTTGACTTTGTCTGTGAAAGATTTGAGAACTTATTCACTAAGCTATGGGACCCAAACCTGTTTAAATAAAATTTTATGATAAATTAAAACCAAAAACATTATAATTTATATATAAAATTAAAATATGTAATAGATATTTTACAGGCTGTTGTATTATGAATTAGCATGTGGTAATGCATTATGTCGCAGCACACTGTTGAATTTCGTTAAACGTATAAAAATTTTTACTGATAATGTAATGCCTGCAAATTACCTATTTTTGTGGCCCGACTCACACTTAGTTTTAAAAATTTTTGCTGGCCCGGCCTGACTCGCATATATATACTGTAAATTTTTTCTTCAGGCTGGCCTAACCAGCCTAACGCGCAAAATTTATTATTAAATTTAAAAAATTTTTAGGCCCGCAGTTGTAAAATTTTGCTTCAGGCCCGGCCCGCAAAAATTTGCGGACCGGGCTGCGGAACCCAATGCAGGCCTCAACGTGAATAATATTTGATATTTTCACGGCATTACATCATCATAAAAATGTCATCAGAAATGTTCACGGGAGAACATATAGGGCCCAACTTATTTAACTAATAGACTTTGTGACACGTTAGCTAACTGCTGTAATATTATTTAAAATAAATTTGATTACTTATTTATATTAATCAATAAATTTTAGGGTGAAAATAATAGCAGTTACAAATATTACTAAAAAAATGATGCTGCCAATGATGACTCCAATCATTAAACTAGTATTTTTAGAGTCTGTACTGCTTGAAATTGTAGAATTTGTAGTAGTTGTTGTAGTATTTGGAATAAATTCAGTAACCCATCTATAGGAATCTTTTTGGCTTACATTTAACATAAATATGTTTGATGAATAAGTACCATTTTGAAATTCACCTGTTGAACAAATAAAGATTTAGAAAGTTTAAATAAAAATAAAAGCGTAAATAGCAAAAATACTGTTCTTGATGGATCGTTGGTGCCGTTCCTGATGGGATAGAACAAAACTTGATTTCCATACCTTTCCAAATAGCGATAGGATTCTTAAAAGAACTCCAAAGCCGATTTTTTATAACAATGCTTGATCATAATGTAAAAGCTAAAGTCATGACCCGTGTTTGATCCATAATATTGATCTCAACATTAACCTAAACACACAGTAAGGGTATTTCCAATTTGAATTTTGTATGTTACATATTGACCTTACAAACGATTGGGCAGTAACAATAGGGCTGCCAAATTTTACGCTGTAACTTTACTACTTCGATAGTAACGTAATTTTTTAAAACTCTATCAGGAACGGTACGCAACCTGACTTTTTCTATCCCATCAGGAACAGTACCGACAATCAATCAAGAACAGTATTTGGATAAAATAATTAAAATTTTACCAAAAGCAACTAACATATAATTATCCACTAATGTTGCAGTATGTCTAGTAAGACTTAAATTTGCAATTGGGTTTAAAATGTTTCCAACCGACCATTGATACGTTATAATATCTAAGATCCACAGATCACCATACGTACCGCTAAGTAATTGAAAACCACCAAATATTATGATACGCCCGTCAGGAGCTTTCAATTTAAATGATTAATAAAAGAAACTTTGTACTTAAACCAATTATTTATATTAAATATATACTTAATACTGCTGAGAAACGATAGCGAGCGGGAGGAGTTGGGCCAGATGTATTCTAATAAGATATAAGATTGATTATTAGTTGCTATATTGATGTACAATATAATAAAATTGAATTTATTTGTTACGTACCATAATTGTCCACGTATTAGTTTTTGTATTATATAACGGTAACTGTAAAACGTTAATAAATAGAGTTTAAAAGTCCAATTTTATTAAAAGATAATACTTACATTGTCCATTGGCATAAAAGTAACAGTATAATTAAGTCCACCAATGTATAAAATATTATCATCGGGCAAAGTTATTGCGCAATAAGACATTCGAGATGAAGGAGCATTTATTGCACTGCTTAAATTCCAAGTCAATGTTAGTGTATTGAATATCCAAAGTTCATTAGTGCTAGCAATCGGTGTATAATTATAACCACTAAAAATAGCAATCAATCCATTATTAAATTTAGCACATGAAATATCATCTCTATTTGTGGGCACACTTCCAGAAGATGTGATATTAATCCACTGCTGTTTATTTGTATCAAATTGATTAACGAATGATTGATTATTATTAGGTTTATTACCAAAAATAAAAATCATATCGTTATTTTTTCCACCAATACATGCTGTAGTATATGCTTTTTGAGGACCGCCGGTATAAGTAAGGTCAACCCATGGTATTAAGACATCTTCTGTTGATTTAAATGGTTTAGAAACATCCAAATAAAAGAATTCATTCGTAGTAACTTTATTAATAAGTCCACCACTAAAATAAAGTTTATTATTAATAAGGACTGAAGAATGGTAACGTCTTGCATTTGGAATAAAAGCAGCAAAAGTAAAAGGAAAATTTAAGAGAAAAGTGAAAATATAAAGTCTAAATACATGAATAAAATACGTAGTATCGAATCAAATAGTTAAATAAATAATAATAACCTTAGTATATAACCATATATATGGTTATTTATATAATACTCGTAACGTATATTTCCAATGAACGTTGTTGCATCGTAATAAATATTACTTCTCCATTCGTCTGCGTTGCAAATTTAATCGCACTTGACCGAAATTAACCCCTGAAATTAAATTTCTTGCATGCGTATGCGTCAGTGTAACTTCAGGTACCTGAAGTTACAACTTGAGGCGGGTATCCAAACTAGTGTTGTTAGGCAAAACCTTGAGGTTTTGCCAAAAAAAAATTTAAAATGGCAAAATGGCAAAACTGGCAAAACTGGCAAAACTTGGCAAAACTGGCA